AGTTTTTGAAAACTAAAAAGAGTGATAACTTATTTAGTGTTTACCCACACAGATATCCTTCGATGCAAAAACTCTAATTTTTTACGACATCAAGGTTTGGACCGCTCTTATAATGAAATACCCCAAAATAAATAGATATGTGAAATATTTTTGCAATGTGTTTGTTTGGTAGGATTAGATTTTATCTGAAGTTTTACTATTTGTATGTCTCGCTTCAAGTTTATTAAAAAATTTCAATATAGAACATTAATTATGAGATCATACAACAAGCCAATATTTATATAATTACTGATGTACAAACTCAAAACGGAAACAGCTTGTTGAAAATTCTATGGATCATCAGTAAAAACCAATTAAAAACTATTTTAAAGAGAAGAGGTGCTGTTCAGCCTCATCAAATGGTTTATTATGAAGGACTGAAAATAATCTAGAATTGAAATGTTCTTATTGTTCAGAACTGAAATTTTATCTTCTGTATCTTCCTAAACTGATGCATCATGAAATTATTACGCATGTCTACGTTCAAAATCTTTTCTAAAAAGTATGGTCCATTTATTTGGTTATGTAATGAACCACACTACACATTTGACCTGAAATAATATTGGTCACGGCATTACAAAATTTGGATTATTGACGATTTATGGCCTTTATTGTGATAAATGTTTGATGTTTATATTGAAAAATAGACATCTAACAATGTTGGTCAACATTCCTGTAGAACAAGGAGAAATAGTTTCGTGCTCACATAGGTTAACTATAACTGAAAACACTCTTCATGTCAATGAAACTGTATAATAAATTTCCTAATCGAAATAAAAAAAATTAATAGATTTAGAACCATATAGTATTAGTGATTATTCGAACCAAACGGAATTATAAAAATGTATATGGTTATGAGTGTATCTGATGGTTGTATGCCAGTAGATTAACATACATTTTGTGGTTTTGGCATCATTTTATTCTATGTTGTCTATGTACAAGCTGTAGTAGTCGGCATATTTTTGAAGTCAAGATTATTATTATGAATGTACCTATGAAAATATGTATACAAAACAACCCGATTTATTAAACACAATAATCTGAAATTGATAAAAACTAAAAATATGTTTCAAAACCATTCATAATTCGAGATTTTGCACTGTTCTTTCATTGTTTAGATTTATGTAATTTGATATCAATCATGTTCAGTCGATATCGCTAAAACGAAAGTATTTTGAATAGTTATGAAACTGTAGGTCATTGTTGAGTCTACAGAAAAGTGTTTTAAGTTTTAAGTACCTGAATTTTACCAATCAATGTTGAAAATGTGTACCTGAGTTTAAGAATGAATCAAATAACATTAACATAGAAAAAAAAACAGAAAATAACTTGGATAAACATGTAATGAATGCAATTAGCTGATTTTATGTATTAGTCAATTACCCGCTCCCGATTTGGAAAAATTATCAGTATTGGGGATTGTTTGTAACTGAATTATTGGTCAAAGATAATCAAACTGAATTTAAATCTATGTTAGAGTGTCATAAGAACGAGAAGAAACACATTCACTCAGTTATGGCCATTTTTAACTTCCTTACATTCAAAATCCGAATCAGTTTCGAAAGTGGAATGAAAAATCTAGATAAAATTTGCAACAACAAAAACGAAGTTCTGGAGGTACCTTTTTTTCTGATCACAGGCCAATGTCGGTATTTTTTAGACATGAAAGTGTCGTATTCATCAAAATTATGAAATTTGATTCATGTTTCGTTTGAATCGTAATGGTGATTTGAAAGATTTGAAAAAAGTCAAAGTGAAGTACAGAGTTCAATTATAGAGAAAAGGTATAAAATTGTAAAACGGTTTTTTTTGACGTTTTTTCTAACTTTCCAGAAAAAACCTGATTTTTTTGGAAATATTCCAAAAAATGTCGAATTTTACTAGTTAAAAGCAGCACATGATAAATTTTGAATAAGTCTGCTGTTATAAAAATTTCCATATGTTGCGGACTTTATGTGTGACACTGTATTTTTGCATCACAATTTCAAATTTGCTTTCGTTATCTGTTCAATTTTACAACTTTATGACATTGATTATTTTTCGTGGGAAACAGCTTGTGCGTATAATAGAAATTTAATTAGTTTTCATAACAAACTTCCCAAGATATCCGGATTATGAATGTTCTATTAAACTTTGTTCAAAACCGCTGTTTTATAAATTGCTGGGAAGTTCTACTCGAAATAAGGAAACTCCACCCTTGACAAGATAAATGCCAATAGATTTTTTGTTCCATCTGAGCTAGTGAATATTTAGTACTATCTATCAAGGTGGACTTTCTTACATTCTTCTTTTCTTTTCCCAATTTCAGGTATTGATTTCTATGTTCAATTTCTTATCGCTACAGACACACTTGTACTTTGCCACTAGAGGCGGTGATATTCTATACGCTTCTAATTTTCTACTTCCGCTTCATGAAGAGCGTTCCAATAGTAATAATGATAATAATATTATATAGAAGTAATTGTTCATCTGAAATTAAAAAAAAATAAACAGTTCATGATAACTTTCAGTTAGTTGTTAACATTGTGACATGTATCATAACAGACAAAACAGTAAATTTACAAGTACTTAGGTACTACAATGCCTGAGCAGTCGTTAATCAATAGTAATAGTAAACAGTATAAGTAAATAGTGAATAATATATGATGATACTCACTTTATTGTGTAACATGTGTATGATAAACAAATCACAGTGAATTTACAAATACTTATTATAGTGCCAGCTAGATCACCTGATCTCACACCGATAGACTTCTTTCTGTGTGGACACCTGAAGTCGAAAGTGTACTCTACTAAGTTTACAAATCTAGAAGACCTGCGACAGATACTTGTTCGGGAATGCCGATTGCTAACTCCGGACATCTTGAATAATGTACGAAACGCTTTCGAGAGTGGACTGTATTATTGTATGAAACTAGATGGAGGTCATTTTGAACAATTCATCCGTTGATTTTGTTTCCACTGATATTATTTGTTGTTGATTTCCTCATTAAAATGAACGACAGCGAATTTTCTGTTTTTTTCTTGAATAAAACGTTCAACATTCAATTTCTCAATAACGAATAAACCAATTTCGAAAAAAATTACAGAAGTAATAGAGGGACAAAAGACCTTTCAAATGATCACTCGATCACCCATTTGGGGGTAGTTGCTGACCGCAGGAGGGTGAAATTTCGGGTATGATTTCCATATCAGAATTAGTCCTCCTAGAAATAAAAATTGACGTGTTCCTTGAAATTTGCGTTTTCGTTGTATAACTCATAAATGGACGTGTAATTGGTAATTTCAAAGCAATCAAATTTTAAAATGAAATTCATACCAGAAACTCAATTTCCTCGTGGCAGTAACTATTTTTCAATGGCAAAAGAGGGTCGTAGGATACTCCATTTGAAAGGTTTCTTGTTTCTGCACTACCTCGGTATTTTTTTTCCGAAGCTGGTTCATTTGTTATTGAAGAATTCGATGATGATGATAGATTTCAAAAAATAAAATTCATTTTTCTTCACTTCATTGATAGAAATAAACAACAAACAATAGACGATGAGTCAGGTGTTTCCACAAAAAACGATCCAAAGGTGTGAAATCAGGTAATCCTGCCGATCCAACGCATTGGAAAATATTCGTCCAAAAGCTATTTCATTCGAACATCGAAATGTGTGTGAGAAGAAGTGGTGATATCTTTCCTTGCGAGTACGCAATCTATGGGATATATGGGATCGCCCCTAGCACTACTGATGAGACCTAAGGCGGATCGAAACAGCGCTGTCTAGTATTCATTCTCGAATGTTGATTTCATCTAGTTGCCATGAAGTGAAAGACAGATAGTTTCAATCGAAATGTGAGGATGCACCAACCAGCTTTATTGTTAGTTTTTTTTCTATTAAAGTCATCAAGTGAGTAACCATCATACTACAAATGTTTGTAATAGATTTATGTTCAATGATATAACTTTCAATGAAGAATGATTCGTGGGTATGTTTTTATTCCCAAATGTTAATTTTTTTGCCAATAACTCCTACACAATCTGTCCATTCGCAAAAATAAATCATTGTTGGATGGAGAATTCAAAGATTTTCGAAAATGTCTCGAGATCTCCTCTTCTATTGAAGAGAAAAGTTATACCACCCTCTTAGCAACTAGTGATGTCATAAAAATATTTTTCGCCTCAGTACCAACTCACTTTCTATGTGTAACTCTCGACTCTTCACTCTCCAACTTCCACTCTCAACTCGCCACTTTCGACCCTTCATTCTCCACTCTTCACCATTCACTCTTCAGTTTCCACTCTAGACCCTCCACTCTTCACTATCCATTCTCCACTCTTCACCACCAACTCTCGACTCTTCATTTTCCATCTCTACTCTTTACTCACGACTCTTCACTACTTGTTCTACTCTCCATGTTCCACTCCTCACTCTCCACTCTTCATTCTCCACTCTTCACATTCCACTCTCCATTTTCCACTCTCGACTACCTACTCTTCACTCTTTACTCTCCATTCTGGACCCTCCACTCTAAACTTTTCACTCTCCACTCTTCACATATTATCATATTATGTGTAACTGAGTTGATACTTTCAGCTAAAAAAACTTTGTGAATATCCCGTAACGGGTATATAGTTTGCTACGTTAACGAGAATAATCAATAATCACTACAATTATATAAATACAAAACCACTATTCATTACTTTCCCAATGATATTGACTTGATTGGCAAAACTTCAAAATAAAAGTGTAACTCTCCCTCATGTTACATAAAAAAGGGGATCTGTTTTACGGAAGAAATTTCTGTAGACAATAAGTAATCATTTTATTTCGACATAGTTTTGTTAAGACTTTCAAATTTATCAAAAAAAATGGTATCGGACTCTACAATAGTTTTAAAACAACTGGCAATGTACTATAGCGTGTTTGTAGCACAAATACTAATACTAGTAACCTCCCTTCAAATTCCTTCTCCAGGATTTTAAAGAATTCGTCGACGCGGAAAACCTAATGCCGCTGACGACCAGCGACTTCCGCAATCCGGTCTGCTTAGAAATGCGCCTACTCAAAGCCTCCGAACAGACAATCAACACCTTCGGCTTCCCGGAGGTCGACATCGAGAAGAAGAACAACGACCTGAACAGTATGGACAGTTCGGACACGTTCGCCAGCTGCACGACGCACCCCTTCAACTCGCAGGGCGATTTGACCTCGGAGGTCAATAACGAGAACGCCAGCGTGACGGACAGCAACCTCTATGTCAATCCTCTGGACAAGAGTGGGGATAACAGCCCTGTGATACCGGCTGCCGTGACGCGAACCAGTGGGGTGAAGAAGTCCGCCTCTGGGGATACCGGACTGAGGAGCTTGGGGACTTCGCCGATGGATGAGGGGTTCAAAGGATTCGGACTGCTCGAGAGGGGTAGTAGGGTTAGCTTGAACGACTCGCCGCTCACTAAGCACAGAAAAACTAGATTTCAGGTGAGAATGCTACAGTTATAGGCATGTGAATTTTAAACAATGAGAATTGAAAATGATTTTCAAATTCAAAACCGATCAACATGTGAGGTATTTTTTCGACCCCACCACTACTGAAACAGTTATTCGAGCTGGAAGAAGCCCCTTTTCATTAATGAAATGAAGATAAAATTGAGTTCTGCTTTTAGATATCATCAATCACGTCTGCTACTGCGGTATGTAAAGGGACCTACCACTGATGATATCAACCGCAGTAGCAGTCGAAACGTTTGATAATTCAGGTTCCATTCGACCATGGCCTACTAGCCCAGATTTGTTCTCTTAAAGTTTGATGCACACTGCGACAGGACGCGAACATGTCGGGAAAGGGGACATGACGTGAAGTTTCGTTTCTCTTTCTATAGTTTCTTATGGAGGACGCGTCCTGTTCTGGCATGTTTCGGTGCCGGCGTGTTCCTGTCCTCTGTATCTGTATATGTAGAGTAGGGAGGGTGAGTGTAGGTCCACAACACTTAATGCCACATGTGACCCATTGTACATCCTCCCGAGGAGTTGTCCTTCTAGGTCATCGTCCATCCTATCCTTTTCAGGAAGGCGGACAGGTCACTGGGAGACATCTCCTTTATGTTGGCAGGTGTAGGCCAAGACTCGCCGAACACAAACTTTCTTATTGACGATAACTCTGGACACTCGCATAGGACATGTTCATCTTCCTGTTCCCACATCCTGCATAGAGGTGTGTCCACTAGTCCCATACTATGGAGGTGTTTTGCTTAGTTGACAGTGGCCAGTCAGAAATCCTACTGTTAAGTGTAGATTCTTCTTGGTCATCGCCAGATATTTCTTCGGCCACTGGATCCTAAAATTTTTATTCCAGGCAGAAACCCTTTCCTGGTTATTTCTTTTGTGGCGATTGAGATACCAGGAAGTTCTGTTTGAACCACGCTGATATTTTTTCCCATTCTCACATCCTGAGACTTCTTTGGTTTTTGAGCCGTCTGTATATATGCGTATTGCATTCGTAGCATCGGACACTGTGTTTTATTTGTATTTTGTACGGTTCATCAAACCCCCAACCCGGGTTCGATTGCGTCACTGGTTGCGAGCAGCAGAGATTGCACAGTAAGCGCTTCTCGCCATAGGCTCAGTCTATTCCTACTTCGAGGTTTACACCAGCCGTGCGCAATCGTAACTTGGCCATTAACAGAACTTCCTTTAACGTACAGGTCCAGAGGGGTCAGACCAGTAATTAATTTTATTGTCGCAGTTGGTGTTGTTCTCATGGCTCCTATGATGTTTAAACAAGCCAATCGCTGTATTTGATATATTTTTTGGATGGCCGTTGCTTGTAGAACTTTCGGTCCGCATGCAATGGCTCCGTACGTTAACATAGGTTTTATTATTGCAGTGTAGATCCAGATGATCACACGGGGTGAAGGACTCCATGTGCGTCCCACGGTCTTCCGACATTGCTTATGAGCCACATGTGCTCTCTTTGCTCTACTCTGTAGGTGACAGTTCCGTGTAAGCCTCTTGTCGAGGATAGTACCAAGGTATTTCACCTCGTCAGAGAAGTTTAGTTTGCTTTTGAAGATTTCGGCAGGTTTTAAGCCCGATGAACTTCTTTTCCTGGTGAAAAGGACCATCTCAGTCTTCTTGGGTGATTCTTCGATATTAGTTTCAGCTACTTTCTGGAATGTTTTGTAGTTTTTCTGGGAACCAGCCTGCAGTAATAAAATTGGTTTAGTGGGTATGTATTCTGACAACCAAGCGTTGACTGTAGCGTCAATTTATATTTGATATACTACCAAATAGAACCGATAATCAAAAACCACAGAATTCAGTTTGTTTTCGATAACAATGTTGCTGGCGGTGGACTGTCTTTATTGAAATTTGGAACTTCATCTAAGATAGCCTGGTTTGCTGGTCATGGTCATCTGTGGCCATCATGGCCATTTCTGTCACGCTGTTGGAGAATATCTGCATTTCATTTCAAACTTCTTCGATCTTATGTCGAACGACTTCCATAGGGTCTTCCAACAAGCACTTCCGAAATTCAAAAATTGATAACGACCATCTTGTTGAAGCTACATCTGTCAAATTAGTTGTCATTCATTCAGAATGTTTTGGCAAATAACCATTGACGGGCATAACATTCAACAACACGTGCAAATAATTAAATTACTTCATCAAAATGGTTGTTCTGTTCGGGCAACGTACCGCGCACTTCGTCCATTTTACGGTCGCCATAATCGTCCTACTGAGAGGACTATTTGCCATGAGGTGGATAAATTGGAGTAAACGATCGATAAACACCCGTATGTCGACAAAACGCAAGATCTGCCGAAAAAATCGCCACTGTTTGTAACGACGGCGCGGCCATCGGCCGCGCTCAGTGTAATCTCAGGTATAGACTCACTTCGAAGCCGGGACCAGATACCATGAGTGGAGAACGAATGATGAAAGGAGGACTGAAGACAGAATGAAAGGTACAGATGAGATTTCTCCCCTGGGTGCAAGGAAGGTTACTGGAGGAGATGAGGGGATGACTGAGGTGTATGTGGATGCCGGAGCGATAGTGGACAAGGAAAGAATGGGCATAGGTTGGGCATATGAAATGAATAGGGGTGAATGGGTTCTAGGGAACAAAAGGATTTCCGGACAGAGCAGCGTGAACGAAGCCGAACTGATTGCAATAGAAAGAGTGATAGATGTGTGGGGTATGAATGAGAACGTAAGAGTGGTTGGTGACTCCGCCATGGCGGTGGAAAGGATGAAAGCGTGATTCAGGGTGGCTGTGATTCAGAGACTGATTGAAGCAAAGCAAGAAAGGGGAGCACGGACCGAAATTATATAGCGAAAGGGACATCATAATCACAATCTTTCAAATAAAAAGGTCCACAAGGAGGCCACGGAAGGCACAAGAAAGAATAGCATTACGTGGAATGTAAGAAAAATGAGTATCAAGAGCGAAGAAAAGGGATAAAGAAATGGATCGCGGAAGAATGGCAATGTAAATGGGATAACGGCATGACTGGGCGAGTGCTCTAGAAAGTCTGTAAAGCAGTCGGATATGAATCACTAGATCCGTCAGGGAAGGTAGTTCAACTGTTCACGGGGCACGGTAACTTTCCGGGTTACCTGGCCAGATTCAAACTGGCACCAAAGGTGCCCTGTCCGTGTGGATAGGGGGAGCCTGAAACGGCAGAATATGTGAGAGATGTATGGACGCAAATAGGGTCTGTTGGTGAGTACGTAAAGAACGGGTGGAATAAGAAAAGGGAGGAATGCAGTTGAGAGAAAGGAATGGAAGGAGAAATGAATGGATACGCGTTTCGAATGAATGGACGAAGAATGTGGTGAGGGATGAACGGGACAAGTGAGAGGCAAGCTACCAGTTTGCCAAAACAAAATACTGGAATGATGACGATCTTCCCAATCTGGGCAGACTTCTTTAAATACACATAGTCTGATTTGTGAAACTCTGATGTAGTAATTTCTGGCAAAATAAATGTCTAAACAAATATTACTGGACTATTGTATTGTTCGAGTTCGGCCAGCGGAGGGCAATGGCATTATTCAAATCTGTTAGGATGTGTAGGAGAATTCGAGGCAATTGATTTCGCATCGCTCACAAGAAGCCGGCTTTTCGCAATGTGGCATGAGCTGTGTAGCTACGTGCCACACAGTTCACGACACATTGGATATTCTACACGAGCGATATGAGGGCATGTTCATCTCATGTGGAGGTGATGTGAACTGGCCACCGAGATCTTTAGAGTTGACCCCGTTAGACTTTTTCTTGTGAGATTTTCTCAAGTCGTAGGTGTATGCGAATAAGTCAAAAACCAGCGGTCCTCAAAGCTAACATAACCAATGTCATGGGTCAAATGTAGCCTGATTTATGCATCAGAATCATAGAAAATTGGACGTTTCAGATGCGCTCAACCCAGAGAAGTCATGGCGGATATTCGAACAACTTTATATTTTACACGTAATGGCATCAATAGGTCTTTCAAACGAATAAAAAAATTTGATGATGTCTCACACACAGTATGTTTCATTTTAATTTCAAGATAGAAAGCGCTTAATGAAAGACCAATTCCATCTTGTATATTCCTCTCAGTTTCATCGGCCCACTTTCTAAGCATTCCTTTATATGAAAGATATTTCAGCAACTCGTCTTATTCTTTATTAATTCATTCTTTTTTTTCTTTTCTTTTTACTCTAAATGCTCAAGCACCATCTCTTGATCGTTTTTCTTTTTACTATCTGATTCGTCTGAATGTCTCCGCAGTTCAGCTCGTTCTTTTCGCCTTTCATTGGATAGCCTTCGCATACCCCTCCAGTATGATTCATGTTCTAGAATTTTCAGCGTTTTTTAGCTATCTTCATCGACAGCAGACGATTTAGATAAGTTCGAATGTAACTCAAACAAAAGTTTACCATGTATAATTTGTTCAAAGGGCCGACCAAGGACAAGGTTTGGAGATTCTTTCGAGAACGACTCCCAAGAAAGTTTGGAGAAAAAGAAGAAAACCTCTTTCATCCCTTCGAGAAGTCTGGCTTCAGCAACACGAATCATCAATCAGCATTTGTTTGGGCTTCAGAATCTAGCAGCCAAAGCTGGTGAGTAATAATTCATTCAAAAAATATTGTAGTTTTTAATTCAATCAGTGAAGAACGAACAAGTTCAACAAATATCCTACACCGCCGTGGCGAACTGAACATAATGTAAAAATTTCAAAGGAATATTTTGAAAATGCGAATATCACAAAAGTGTTGCCTAGCTAGGTTTTTTCCACAATTTATTTATTAAATACTTCGACTGCTGGGTGAACCTAAATAATAAAAGCAAAATAAAATGCGAATATCACAAAAGTGTTGTCTAGCTAGGTTTTTTCCACAATTTATTTATTAAATACTTCGACTGCTGGGTGAACCTAAATAATAAAAGCAAAATACCCAATTAGTCATGCCAGTAGGACGTAAACTCGATTCAATCTGTAATTTATTCTCCATCTTGAAGTTTGTCATGTACCTTCTGAAACTGGTAGGTACTGATTGAATACTTATTAATAATAATTTCTGGGTACAGAGGTGGTAATGGTTTTTAAATAGTGATATGACAATGTACCACAATAATCCACAAAAGTTGATGTTGCGAGGATTCCAAAAATAATATAATATGAAGATATTCCAATGAAAAAAGGTTTGAACTTGTCTAATATAAAAATCGTACATCCGTCCCACTAAAATCTAACCTCAATTCTTGCAAATATAGACGAAACATCCATTTGTGAATCATTATTGAATTCAAGACAAGATCAAATTTGTTCAAAGTTTCTTTCTGAGTTTTGATAGCTTTTGTGGAATCATTCAAAATAGTGGAGTTCTGTCAAATTAGTGTTTACCGTCAGAGGCGGCAAAAAAACGAAATGAAAGAGAAGAAGATTCTTAGTTCATAGCATACAATGTTAAATTACGTCAAGCGACAGAACATTTCATTATATTTCTGCATTATAGTCTCATTGATAGTGTGCACATGTTTCATACAATCATAAAAGATCAAGTCATGAATATAAGAAGTGTTGAAAACTAATAAAAATTATATACTCTGATTATTATCATTGTTTTGTCGAGAAAGACAAGTATGTAAAATTCTCCTGTTCCACTAATATATTCAAGAAATTCCAATATATTATACTATGCCTGTCAGATTGTTTCAATAGAAATAAATATCTAGATAGCGAAGGATCTACGATGCACTAAATACAACCATGAGAGCAATTAGTACCTAACTTATCTTCTACTCTCTAGTTCATTATATTTAGTGCTTCTTTGGTATAATAGATTAGATCAGATTGTCGTGGAGCCAGTTCACAACAATCTGCGACCATTCCAGATCTATTGTGATGCCCCTTGATTATTAGAGCTCATTATTCAGCTTGATGAGACTCCATAGCCTTGACACTGACCCCTTCATATAGCTGGCAGCATCTGGTTTAACTTCCTCGCATCATGCGTGTCTCAGCCTTGCTGTCTCTTCGCATTCACAGAGCACAACCTTACGGTTGTGGTTTAGCAGGTATTCCGTGAATCTGGGCGATGGTTTCTTTATGAATTGTTTTGCCTGCCTCATTCCTGGGAGCTTATTCTACCAATCTACCGGTTCGGCTTGCATCCATGAATTTATGGATGTCTTCATACATGCTTTCGCTACCCCTCAGAAGGGTTCTGGACCGATCAAAGCCTTGGAGGCGCCTTCATGGGCTAGAACATTGGCCTCCTCATTGCCCTTGTGACCCTCATGTCCGGGTACCCTTCTTGGGTCTTTGAGCCATCTGTATACAAAGTTTTTCCCTCTTTTACCAGTGAGCCTTTTTGCCAGTCCTCTCTATGTGGTGTGATGATTTTGAAATCTTTTTAAAAGTTGTACTGCGGAACTGTGTTAATCACGGACATTCCTAGTAGTGAATTTGCATTCAGTTCCTTGTACAGTTTCAAGTATAATAGACTGGCAATACTTGGATTACACAACGCATTGTCTACGTGGCAGTATTTTTTGAATGATTCTTCAGGTCATATTACTTTCATATTTAGATGACATGTATATGACTACCTGAACTTATGAAAAACATCTAAAAATCTCACAGTTGTGTGATTGGGTGATTGAACTATGTTGGACTAATATATGTTATGGATTAAAATAAGTTAGGAGTTGACTCAGAAAATGTGAAATTCTTATGATCCTCTAAAATTCGTTGATTTTTGTGTCCTACTATGTGCCTGACATATAGCATTTGAAATTAACTATAAAGATCAACTCTAACATATCAAATAAAAACAATATATATAACATTTTTCAATGAAAAACAATAGCAATCGTTACCTAACTTGTTTCTCACTTCTTTTTTTTTCATAGTCGAGTTATAGCTTTCTAAACTTTTTCTTTCAAACGGAATGATCAAATCATTCAATGCCTTTTTGATATTTGACATATATGGAGCCGAATCCACATGGTTTCGTCTCACTAACAAAATAAAAATAGCTAACACTTAGGCGTGTCTACTTGTTGCATACTTAACTATCGTTCTGATGCTCTAGAGAGACCTGTTACCGATCCGTCTCTGGGGGATTTACAATTTAATCATACTTTCGATTCATTATTGTCATTTGATTTTGGTGTATCTGAAGGAAAAATTGATTTGAAGCTGATTGCTGGATTTCTCTCTCACTAATGCTCAAACTCTCGCATTGACATTTAACTAAATATTATGAGTTAATAAGCTTGAGGTCAGTTCAGAAGATACTCGAAATGGTTGCCCTAAACTTCTTGACATATGAACAGCTTATCCGATATTCCGAACATTTTCGAACACAGTTACGTCAATATCTCTACAAATATTTATTATTTTCTGCCGTATATCCAAGATTGAAGAAGGTTCAGTTTCGTACACCTTTTGCTTCAAATAGAAACATAAAAAAGTCTAAAGTTGCCAAATCTGGCAAGCGGGCTGGCCATTCTGTAGGACCTCGATGACCAATCCAACGACCGGGAAAAGTAGTATCCAAATAATTTCTTTGTTGTCTGGAGTAATGTGGTGGTGCTCCATCTTGTTGGAATACAATATCCATATCGAATTCATTAGGATTCGCTTCGACGATTTCAATGATGAGAGGGTCAATAGTAGTTGCCAGCATATTCAAATACAGTTCCCCTGTTGAATTTTGATCAATTAATAGAGGTCCTACAATATGGTTTCCCAATATTCCTGCCCAAACGTTAATTTTTTATGGATATTGGGTATGTGTGTCCCGGAAAACGTGGAGGTTGGTGTCACTCCAATAACGGCAATTTTGTCTGTGAACATTGCCGTTTGAATAAATATAGTTTAAAAATAATTTGAAGAACATCGAACATCGATGTTGTACCTTTCTACTAGTTAAACCGAAATCTAAATAAGATTATTCTAACTGAACAATGATGTTCATTGTCGTACTACATTTTTTGTCGTTTTTATAAACGAAAAATACCTTAACAAACCTTATCGGGTTGTTGGAATTGCCATATGGCAGATAAAAAGAAATATTTCTAGAAATATCGATATTAATGTGCTTGCCTTCAGAAAATTATTAAATGTTCCGCTATTTTGTAATAGGTGAAGATATTGACTTCATATTCTAGGGTTATGAAATATTCGTCAGGAGCTTCAAAATGATGTATCACAAGACCCCATTTCACATTTAATTTTCCCCCCATATGTCGCCATTTTGAGAGTTTCATCTGTCAATTCCACTTCAAAATAAAGTATTCATGTAGTAATTGTATTATTTCAAATTCCAATTTTTTGAGTTGACCCTTTCAAAAAATAAAAGAGGGGCGACATTAAATAACTGCACTATATACAGGGTCCTGCAACAGTGGCGCGGTGTTCCATATCTTTATATAGGAAGCAGATAGGAATCTAATTTTCTATAATATTACCTTATTGCTCGAGCTCGACAAAATAAAAATATTGGCGGTCACACAGGGTGTTCGATTTTTTCTGGGCGGATAAGAATTCGATGATGATGATAGATTTCAAAAAATAAAATTCATTTTTCTTCACTTCATTGATAGAAATAAACAACAAACAATAGACGATGAGTCAAGTGTTTCCACAAAAAACGATCCAAAGGTGTGAAATCAGGTAATCCTGCCGATCCAACGCATTGGAAAATATTCGTCCAAAAGCTATTTCGTTCGAACATCGAAATGTGTGTGAGAAGAAGTGGTGATATCTTTCTTTGCGACTACGCAATCTATGGGATATATGGGATCGCCCCTAGCACTACTGATAAGACCTAAGGCGGATCGAAACAGCGCTGTCTAGTATTGATTCCCGATTTCATCTAGTTGCCATGAAGTGAAAGACAGATGTCAAAGCTTGGCTTTGTGAGTTACCGTCTTGTAAATCCCCGTTTATTTGTAATATTTGCAAGTAGATTGAGTTTTTTATGATCCCATAGATGAGGTATTCCTGAGGAGATATGTCATCCCCTACTTACTTAGGTTTTTCCTTTAAGGACAGATGATTCCAGCAAATGCATACGTGATTTAGCCTAGTACCACTGATTAGTCCTAGGGCAGAATGAAACAGCGTTGTCTCGTGGAGAGTTGCGAATGCGTTATTACTTTTTTTTATTACTTTTTTCTCTAGTAAAGTCATCAAGTGAGTAACAATCATTCTACAAATGTTGTAATAGATTTATGTTCAATGATATAACTTCCAATGAAGAATGATTCGTGGGTATGTTTTTATTCCCAAATGTTAATTTTTCTGCCAATAACTCCTACACAATCTGACCATCCGCAAAAATAAATCATTGTTGGATGGAGAATTCAAAGATTTTTGAAAATGTCTCGAGATCTCCTCTTCTATTGAAGAGAAAAGTGATACCACCCTCTTAGCAACTAGTGATATTTTTCGCCTCAGTACCAACTCACTTTCTATGTGTAACTCTCGACTCTTCACTCTCCAATTTCCACTCTCAACTCGTTACTTCCGACCCTTCATTCTCCACTCTTCACCATTCACTCTTCAGTTTCCACTCTCGAATATCCACTCTCCACTTTCCACTCCCGA